AATTTTCAACATTAGAAAACACAAATGGAGTTGTTTTTCAAGGTCATAAATTTTTTAGATATTGTAACAAACGAGTTCACAGGCCCTGGAGATCTACCAACCCATAAAAAACTCAAAAGGATGAAATGAGAAGTAATCGGAAGAAAGACATTAGAGCGTTGATATATATCTATGGAGCAATTGATTCGTCAATTTATGACAAGATTGCTCATGTTTTGACTGCAAAGGCGGCATGTGATGTCTTGATCAATTGTTATATTTGACAAGATAAGGTGAAAAAAGTTCGGTTTCAAACCCTACGCAGACCATTTGAGCTTCTTCAGATAAAAAAATCAGAGCGTAAATCTAATTATTTTTTTCGGACATTGTTTATTATCAATCAGATGAGAGCCAACATCGATGATGCAAAGGATCTCCAAGTTATGGAGAAAATTCTTTGGACCTTGTCAATGAGATTCGAGTATATTGTCACAGCTATTATAAAGTCAAAGGATCTTGATTCCTTGATAGTTGATGGGTTCCATACAAACCTATGAACAAAGATTGAATGAAAAAGTTTGAAATTATAGACTCAGACGAGTTTCAAGAAGGAGAAAGATGAGTCCCACAATAAATATCAATCAAATCAGAAGTATCAGCATTCAAATAACCAAGGTACGTGGCAAAACGGATCTAGTGGAAAAAATATAAAGGTAATAATTGGGGTGAACTACATGACAAATCCAAGATAAAGTGCTACTATTATGGAAAATTAGGGCACTATAAAAAGGATTGTTACAAATTAAGGAGATCTGATAATAAGAATTATCATGGTAAAATTGTAGAGGGTAATGATGATAATTCAGAGGTTTTGTTTTTAATTGATAGTGCAGTGGATGATGTTTGAAAGAATAAGTGGTATTTGAATTCAGTTTGCAGTAATCACATGTGTGGTTACAGGGAGATGTTCACCGTATTGAATGAATTTGTTCAATCAGACATTAAATTTGGGAATGCTTCAACCATCCCCATAAAGGAAAAAGGTAAAATTTCTATTAAGTTAAAAGATGAATCTTTGAATGTTATTTCAGATGTTTATTATGTTCTCGGCCTTAGCCACAATTTATGGAGTATGGGCAGTTGTCAAAAAAGGGTATGATGTGAGAATTTTTAATGGTGTTTGTACAATTAGTGACAGCCGTAAGAGACTAATAGCAAAGGTAAATATCACACACAATTGTTTGTTCCCTGTACAAATTAGTTGTTAGAATTTATCTTAATTTAGTTCTGAAATTTTTGAGGATAATTGGTTATGTCATATGCGGTTTGGGCATGTAAATTTTCTTGCCCAGAAAAAGTTGGTTTTTGATTTGCCTGCTATTAATATTCCTAGTCAAGTTTTTGAGACTTGTGTTTTGGGAAAAAAAAACCATAGGGACCATTTTCCTGATAAACAAGTTTGGCATGCAAAAAGACCCCTTGATTTGATTCACTCTGAGTTCAATTGAAGTTCCTTCCACTGGTGGGAGTAGGTATTTTATTACCTTTATTGATGATTTTAGCAAAAAGACTTGGGTGTATATTTTAAAAAATAAATCTGATGCATGTGATGCATTTAAATATTTTAAAGTTTAAGTTGAAAGACAGAGTGAGAGAAAAAATAAAGTTTTAAGGACTAACAGAGGTGAAGAATATATGGTTTGTGATGATTTTTTGAGAAATCATGACATTAGCATCAGTTGACAACTATGTATACTGCCTAACAGAATGGTATGACAGAGAGAAAAAATAAAACTATTATGAATATGGTTAGATGCATGATGAAATCTAAAAATATGTTTAATTTTTTTTGGGCAGAAGCTGTTGCTTATGTTGTTTAAGTTTTGGACAGGTCCCCTACTAGAAATTTTAAGGGAAAAATTCTCTATGAGATTTGGAGTGGTCAGAAGTCTGATATTCAGCATTTTAGGGTGTTTGGTTGTATTGCCTATGCCCATGTTCCAGATTCACTCAAGAAAAATTTTAAGGATAAGATTGAAAGTATATTTTTATTGGGTACAATTCAGTTACAAAGGAGTATAAGCTTTATAATCCCATCATAGGAAAAGTGATTATTAGTAGGGATCTCACTTTTGATGAGCAGGGTGTTTAGAATTGTTCCCAAAAGGAAGACAAATTAGCCACACTTGTATTCTTTTGATGTTGATGATTCAATTGGTGATCATCTAGTTGAACAATCCTCAATTCTTCAATTCCTGCAACCAAGTCAAGTAGGCGTTCACAGTGTAAACGACACATGCCAACTAGATTGGAAGATTATGTGATTGGCACTGGCAGTGATCCTTCATGTGAGGATTTGATAAATTTTGTTTTATATGCAGATTGTGATATTGTTTCTTCTAATGAAGTCTGTAGGGAGAAACATTGGGTGAAAGTAATGGATGAAGAGATTAATGTCATTGAGAAAAATAATAGATGAGATCTTATTTCTCTTCCCAAAGGAAAGAAAGCCATTGGAGTTAAATAGGTGTACAAGATCAAATACAAGTCAAACGGAGAGGTGGATCGCTTCGAAGTGAGATTAGTAGCCAAGGATTACAAACAAAAACAAGGTATTTATTATCTTGATATTTTTGCTTATATTGCCAGACTTGATACTATTCATATGATTATTTCTCTTGCTATTAATAATTCTTGGAAGATTTTTCGAATGGATGTGAATTTTGCTTTCTTGAATGGTGTCCTTAATGAGTAAGTTTACGTTGAGTAGCTTCTCGGTATGTGAATAAAGTGGAGGAAAACAAAGTCTATAAGTTGAAAAGGACATTGTATAGTCTTAAACAAGCCCCTAAAGCTTGGTACACTTGGATGATTCTTATTTTGTTGAGAATAGTTTTCAGAGATGTCCTTATTAACACACTTTGTTTGTCAAAACTAATTCACAGGGAGATATGTGGATGATTTTATTTTCACAAGGAATAATCTAAAGTTAATTGATAAATTTAGGGAGGCAATGATTTTTCAATTTGAGATAACTAATATGAGTTTGATATTTTATTTTCTTGGGATTGAGGTTAATCAGATATCCTTAAATGGTTTAGAATGGATTCTTGCAATCCTATTTTGACTCCGGTTGAAGAAAGATTGAAATTGGATAAAGATGAGAATGATGAGTTGGTGAATCCCACATATTTCAAAAGGTTGGTGGGAAGTTTACGTTATTTGGCTTCCACTAGACTTGATATTATTTTTGCAGTTAGTCTTATCAGCAGATACATGGAGTTTCTACGTCAATTCCACTTGCAAGCAGTAAAACAGATTTTAAGGTATGTTAAAGGTACCCAATGTGATGATATTTTTTATTCTCCTACTAGTTCTTATGAACTTGTAGGGCATACAAACAGTAATTGGAGAGGTCACGTGGAAAAAAGCAAAGAATATTTCAGGGTATTGTTTTTAAATTGGTTTAGAATTTTTTTCCTAGTTTTCGAAGAAACAACAAGTTATTGCTTTTTCTACCGCTAAAACAAAGTATAATGTAGCTACCAGTTGTTCTAAAACAGAGTACAATGTAGCTCACAACACGAGACAAGCAACTATCCTAAGCATATAACCTGTGTAATCTTCCCCATTTTATCAATAAAATCACCCCAAGAGCAAGAGACTCCCTTTAACGTGGATTAGCCGAACTTCGGAGCTGGTGAACTATTATAAACACTTAATGTGCCATTCCCCATCTTCCTTGTTCAAATCTTGAGAGCCTAAAAGTTTAGAATGAATCATTCAGTAACCCATTAATCCCTAAAGATCATGAGCACTGCTCAACTGTGCTACACACACCATAAGAAGTATTTTATTAGAACTAAAATTGTTAGAATTTTATGTCATGTTAGTAGTGGAAGTTCGGGGTGTGTGTTAATGGAAAAAGCCTTTTTGGCTTTCAAATAATTTAGTTTTTTGTCGTTCGAGATTTTTCAATGTGTTAGTCATTTTTTGTCTTTCTTATTTTATTTTCTTAGAACTTTGATTTAATCTTTGTGTGTAAAATTATTTTTGAGTGCTTAATTATTTTGAGATCCTACACCTTGTAAAACACAATTTCTTTATATGACAAGGAAAAGCCTAGTGCAGACAATGGCCAGTCTCCATCGTGGATAAAAATTCTACCAAGGTTTATCCAAAACTGATTCCTTTCTATTTTCCATGGCTAACAGGTTGGGTAAGATGCTTGTCTTATATAAAAAAATTACGGGCTTTGGTTTACGTTTCAAAAAATAGTATTCGAAAAATTTCTTTGAAAAGAGTTTTAAGAAAGTTGTTTTGATATTTTTTGAAATAAAAAACTTGTTTGGTTAGATGATTTCAAAAATAATTTTACAATACAGAAAATAGTAAAACCTGTTTGGACAACCCAAATATATATTTGAACAGTAATTTAAACATTAATAAAAAAAATATAAAAAAGTATATACACTTATAGCTACACTTATTTTCTGTTTCTTTGACTCAAATCTCATTTTTTTTTCCAAATTTAGAGAACAAAAATACTAAACAAACAGATTTTAAATGTTTTTAAAATTTTGAGAACAAAAATTGTTTCCAAATTACAAACCAAACATGGCCTATGCTTCTCTTTATGTCATTACCATGACTTCATATTAATGATTGTCTATTTTCCATGGCTCACACTAACTTCGATGGAATTTTTCGTCAAATTTACTATATGGTCCCCACTCTAAATGCAGTGAGTTTTGATTGAAATGACAACAGAATGGAAGTTAGTGTGATGATCGCATGATAATCATTTTATACATTAAGAGTGAAATGTAGAAAAATTAATAATTTGAGGGTACAAATTGATAATTTTAAATTTTTCGGGGGTAAAAATATAATTCACCCTTTTCTTTTTTTTTTTTTTTTTTTTTTTTAGCCAATGTCCTCCATAAGGAGAAGACTATTGGGAAAAAATTTTCAATAGGAATATTGAAAAATACAACTGCTAAATGCCGAGTCTCATTTTGCAAATGATAAGCTATAACTGTACATAACCGCTCATAACACTTGTTTGATCACAAATGTTGTGTTCGATCATAAATAACATTGGCTAGAAGGTGCAATTTGACCTTTAAAAATTTTATTTTTCATGATCGATCACAAAATATTATAACTTGAGACCGTAAAAAAACTGTAACTTAACTTTTAAAAGTAATAATTTTCTATACAACGCCTCTTTTGATACTGTAGTCATTCCTTATTCAATATACAAAGACTACTCAAAAGGAAAACATAGAAAGGAAATTCAATCCATATACCACATTAATACATAGGAAGTTGAGAATGGTAGTGCCTCCCAATCCTTTGGAAAGTATTAGCAGGGTGATTGATCAAATGTGCTTGTTGAGGAAAGTGATAAGGAGCTGGTTCACCTGGTCAGGCAACTGCTCTTGGACGAAATGGTTTCCCTCTGGTATGAACACTACCTCCAAATCAGGAACATATTTTTTGACTATACCACTCCTTATGTACTCCTCTAATCTCCCAAATTTTAATACATAATCCTTTTCACCCATGATCAGCATTGCCGGAACTGTCACTTTCTGATCTTCAACTCCATAGTCTTCGAGCCAACCCCTGCCCAAATCCTCAAAATCCTTCAGTCAAACATAGAGATGACATAGTCCAATCCTCAACATAATGGTTTCATTGCCCTTGCAAGGTTTCGAATTTTGTTTTCCCATTTTGATATCATGTTGCAATGTTGATTTGCTAATTGGATCAATGCTAACCAGAGTTTTTGAAATTATACATTTTGACTTAAGTTTGATGTTGCATAAAATTGAATGAAAGGTATAATGGTCGTTATACCTGTATGGCACCTGCAGTGCAGTTTGAAAACCGGATTTCTCATATAGAGCTGCATAGTTTTCAAGATCTTCCTCGGTGAACCAGGGGGGAAGCGGCGTGGATGGATCAACCAAGTCCATTATCTCCTGATCCTCGCTAGCTACTTGTAATTCACTTCTTGTGAAGAGGATATATATGTTTTTCACCACAGTCTTGACATCAAAGCGGCCAAAGTCCTTTTCAGCTCTCACTGGCTCCTGAGAAAAAGAGCATGAGCAAGTAAGAAAGTAGGAGATCAAGATAAACAATTTGCAGTTTATCAATATTCAGTAAACACGATGATAAAAATTTACCCGCCATCTCAAGAAATAGAAGCCTTTTGGGAGGGTATCTAGAGAGATTCCTTCTGGACCAGTGACCATGAATGGTACACCTAGGGTCACAACTGCTGAGACCCTGTCTGGATAAAGGAGTGCAAAGTGGTAAGCTGGTCGAGGTCCAAAGTCCTTGGCAACAAGAAAAACCTGGACGTTACAGATGAATTAGTCCAATTTTACATGGTTTAGATGAATTGAAAATTTTCCATTGGCAGAATCACATGGACAATCAATAACCAGAACAATAGATGAGCTGATCATGCATGTATGTAGTCATCCTCGATGAAATCGAGAGTTTCTATTATTGCTTACATAATCTCATTGGAACATCACAAAAGGATCACAAGGATCTTCCACCAAATATAGAGAAAAGCTTGTAGATATTTGTACCATTTGATCCATGATTTATAATCCTTAATTCTCTCATGACCAAAAAACACTGTGCACTGTTCTAGTTTAAAAGTCCTGGTACTTTCCTCTTTGTTAAATTCAATGATTTAAGCTGGTGATAGAACATCCATCAATCGTCATCACCTCATCACATCCATCAATTACTCATATATTAGTATACTTACTTTCTATATCAAGCCCACGAGACTTATAACTAAAAATCGTATAATGCTACGGTATATAGAATATAAGGACTTATACCTTGGGGATACCAAGTGAATCAAGGAGCACAAGTAGATCATCAACAAGGTCTCTGAATGTTACTTTCTCTGGTTCTGCCGGCTTTTCAGAGAGACCATAGCCCCTGTAGTCAGGAGCTATTGCTCGAAATCCAGCGTTAGCTACTGCAATCATCTGATACCGCCACGAATACCATATCTCGGGGAATCCATGTAGGAACACCACAGCAGGACCTGCATAAATATTTTCACAATATAATGCTTTAAACAGTAGAAGTGATCTGGAAGTTGGAAAGAATACAGAAGAAGAAGAAAGATTGGGCTGTACCTTCTCCGATCTCGGCGAAATGAAGTTTGAGCCCCCTTACTTCCAAGTATTTGTGCTTTATCTTCTCCATTTTTGGTAGGAAATCGGAGCTCTATGAAAGGATTAGAGACCGAGAGCGGTGTCTGCGCTTTGTTTCCTGGTATCTGTGCATATTTAAGGTGTTGGTGCTGGAATCTTCTGATTTTTCGAAAGATTAATTACAAATTCTACGCCGAAATCATTTAAATTTAAATTTTTACCTTTAAATATAAAAAATTTTAATTTATATTCTCAAAGATAGAAATTTATATCAATGCGCACCTGAAACTAACAGCCGTCAGTTTGCTGCCTAAAACTAAATTAATAAATTATACATAGATCCTCTTATGCTTGTCACTTAATCATTTAGACCCCTCACATTTAGAATATTACTCTTATACCTCTTAACGTTTGTACACGTGTAACACATAAACCCTCATCGTTAATATCTGTAAATTTAATCATTAAAAAAATGATTTCATTTTAATAAAAAATTATAATTTCATACTACCCTTTATTTTGTAGGTCCATTATACTCTAAAGTCCAACATCAAGCTTATCATTTAAATGTTTAATATAATGCATATATTTATATAATATTCTTTATATTCATTGCAATATATCACTTAAACAGAATTATTTAAATGTCCAATTGGGGGAATATTTTTAGTCATATTTAGATTCTCAAGAGATGTAGATATAATATTATAAATGTGAGGGGTCTAGATGATTAAGTAATAAGTATGAGATAGTCTAAGTATAATTTATCAATTTAATTTTAGACATTAAATTGACAGTTGCTAGTTTAAAGTGCGTATTGATGCAAATTTTTATCTTTGATGGTATAATTTGAAATTTTTTATCTTTAAAAGTATAAATTGAGATTCAAATGATCTTTTAAAGTATAGAGATCAAATTAGAATCAATCAAGGCAACAATTTCTATAACTCTAATGAAACACCTAAACTTCGTCCAATAAAAAGATGGAATAGTATGAAGAAAAAATGAATATAGTCCATTTCGAAGGGAAATTTTTTTTGCATTTAATTTAGGCCCCTGATCATCTATAACTATTGGATTAAAGTAAGAAAAAATATTATTTGAACCTAATTTGGGAATTTAATCTAAAAAATTAATTAATTATTGTTGTTGGATTAAAAATGAGCTTTATTCAACATTGAAAATTACAAATAATTTAATGATGTAAAACAATTGAATAAAAAGCTTAATTTGATATAAAACACTCTAATAAAAAACATTCAAAATTAAAAGAAGACAATCCCAAATTAAAAAAAAACAGAATGACCACTAAATTTTTAAGTAGAGTAAATCTAATCATTCAAGATTTGAATCTCTTTTAATTTGAGTAAAAAATTGAGTCTCTCTCCATTTAGCATATGTTTGAGTAAAGAACGAGAGATTATTTTAGCTTGTTTTTATTTAAATTTAAACATCAATAAACGTTAGATAAAGATTACAGATGTTCTAAATATAACTAACAAAGAAAACGGAATTAATTTTCTACCACTTTTTATGCAAATTAAATAAGCAATGTACTAAACACAATCAACGAAAATTTAAAACAAACAATGAAAATAAACCAGAAGCAAGGCACAAAAATTTTTATAGTGAAATTCGATCTTTAACCTTCCATTATATTAAAATAATGGGATTACAACGATCCTCTTCAAAACTGTTACCAAAGACTATCAAAACATCAACAATTTATTATCCAAGATTATTATCAACAATAGTAACAAAAAAATATCTCACCCCTTAAATCTTGCAAAATATCAATTTGAAAAGATTTTTAAAAAATAAATTATCAATGCATAATTCGGTCACTACGAATAACATATTAAAATTTCATCAAAATTAAACATCGACTACTTATACGAATTTTGGCTCGAAAAGATCCACGCGAACAACAAAATTTTCTCTCTTCTCGGTTTCGTCAAAAGCTTGTGTTGTTTTTTTCTTTAGCCGCCACCTCCGGTTCTCCACCACTTTAGATTTCATAGCCAACAAACCTAATTTGAATACAATTTGTATTCTTCTTCATGTGGTCCCCAAGTGGGCCACGTTGTCCACCAAGCTATCATCATTTTTTTAAAGAAAAATTAAATTTAAATCTCTTATAATTTGTCACTTAATTACTTAGATCACTGATATTTATAATATTATACACAGATCTCCTGAAATTTTTATGCAAGTAATACTTAGACACCTGCCGTTAATTTCCACTAGTATATCTATTAGTAAATTATATTCAAACTCCTTAAAATTTATAGACGCGTAACACTAAAATCTTTTTAAGCTTAAAATATCACACTTAGACCCCTTATTAGTTATAGAACTAACGAAATCTATTAAACGATTAAATTATCTTTAATTAGAGATAAAATGTATTGTGTTCATTACAGTTTGAACATTTATTTGATTTTTATTTTATTTTATTATAATAGACAGTATAATTATATGCAAATGAATGTTGAATTGAATTTTTGATGGTAGTGGTGGGTTTTGGGTGGCGATTGAGATAATAATAGGAATAAGTGACGACGGTGGTGGTGGTGGTGGTGATGGTGGGCAACAGTGATAGTGGTTGGAAGTGGTGATGATGGTTGGTAGTGGTGGTGGGTTGTGGTAGTAGTTGACGGTGGGTAGTGAAGGGCAACGATGATGATGGTGGGTGACAATGGTGATGAGATGATGGTATTAGTGGTAATAAATATAAGAATAAGATGATCATGGTAGTGGGGTGGCAACGGTGACAGTGGTGGTGATAATGGCGATGATGTGGGCGGTGGTGATGGTGGTGACAGTGGTGACAATAATAGTAATGATGGGGAGGGTGGTGGTGGTGGTGGGGCGGTGTTGATAGTGGTGGGGGGTGGCAGCGGTGGCAGTAATGATGGTGGTGGTGGGGCAATGGCGATGGTGATAGTGGTAGTGGCAGAGGTGGTAATGGGATGACGGCGGTGGCAATGGTGGTGGTGGGGCTGTGACGATGGTGATAAGGGTGGCGGCAGTGGTGGTGGTTGTAGCAAAGGTGGTGATGGGGTGGCGATAGCGGTGATAATGGTGGTGGGGGCGATAGGGGGTGGTGGTTGTAGTTGTGGTGGTGAGACGGTTTCAAACACTTGTTTTTTTAAAAGTATTTTTGAAAAGTTATAGGTTTTAGAAGTACTTTTAAAAAGTCACTCAAAACACATCATTAGGGTATCTATTTTTCTTATTTAATTTTTGGAGTTAATATTAGCAGTCAGATTAATTTTAAAGTAAAATTTAAAACGATTTTAACCGCGAAAAATAAAAATTATTTTGTTTATCTTTTAATATTTTATGAATTAAAATTAATAAAATAGTCTTAAAAACAAGGGCAAAATCCAGTTTATCCTCTTGTAATTTGAGTATTTTGCACATGACCCCCTTATATTTGAAAATTAACACATTACCTCTTTATGCTTTTGGACTGATATGCACAATTAACACTGTAAACAGAAGTGGTAAAATGATTGTAGTACTCTTAACTATTCATCATCTTCTTCCTCCCTCTCAACTGTTGCCTAATTTTTTGAAAAATCAACCAACCACCCAACTTTACAAGTTTTTTTCTCTCTCTCTCTCACAAAGTACCAAACTTCCTCAAACAATGTCAATATCCCCCACTCTCAACCTAGTTTTAAACCCCACGGACTTGTTTCCTTAAATAGCCCCCATGACCCATGAATTTAAGCTCAAAGATGATCACAAACTCATTTTGACAAGTTATGTACATATTAGATTTTTTTCAACATTTGGGCCAACTTTGACTCTTAATTTCTCCCTCGTTTCTCAACCTTTTTGGGTGATTCAAATGTCTAAATTTAATTTCTTTCTACCCTCTTTCTAACCATGTATTTAGTTTGTCCAAATCATGCACAAGGTAAGTGAAAAATCGAGCTCCAAAGTGACGGGTTTATCATTTTCAAAAATTGTCACGATTTTTAATTCAATTTTTCACCCACCAAACCTCATTCTTTCTCGATTCTAACTTCAAAATGTATTCTTTACCCTAAAAATGGTGGATTAGGGCCCCCTTCACATCCAAAACTCGAAATTTTGAATACCCAAAAATCAAGTTTCAAGCTTAAACAAGAGTTTTAATTTTCTCTCACTATACACCTTGTTGCCTCTCTCTCACTCTCTCTCTAACTCAGCAATGTCACTGCCCCATCTCTCTCTTCTTCATCATCTCTCTCCATTTGCAACCCCCTCTCCCCTCTCTCTTTCTCTAAGTAACAACCTCATTGCCCCTTTCTCTCTCCACCACCCTTCTGCCACTATTGGCAACCCACCGCCAAACAGCCCTCCTAGGTATATCTCCATCTTATCCCCTCCCTTCCTCCCTTGCCCTCTCCTCTCTGCTCAAACCCCCTCTTCCGAGGCTCTCCTCGTCGCGACCAACAACGGCATTAGAGCCACACCCCTTCTTGCACATAAACGATCCCACCATGATTATTGAATCTCTAGCCATTAGTTATTCCTATTGTTTGAGTGGTAAATGAATTTCACTTGAGCTGTGCATAGTTAAGAATCAACCACTTAATTTTAATTTTTAAATTTTGTTGTAAAAATTTTGATAAGCAGACGGTGCTTGGAGTGAATTGTTTGAGAAAAAATATGATAGTCAACTATTCAGGAAGATGAAGATTGAAGAAGGATATTATTGTACTTTTATTGTGTCTATTTTTGGAGGAAAAAAGTTTTGTTATGTCAAATCTCCTTTTAGGCGCGTGTGTGTCACAGATAGTTTAATCTAACGAAAAAACTAACGGAAGCGTTTTAGTCCAAAAGCACAAGAGGATAATGTGTTGATTTCTAAATCATAGGGGGGTCATGTGTAAACACCCAAATCACAAGGGGGTAAACTGAATTTTGCCCTAAAAACAATAAGAAGTTTTAAAAA